GCTAGTTGCCGCAGTCGCACCTATGGTAAACTGTGCCTGACTACGTTGAAACAGTTTTCCTCAACAGGGGGAACACTGAAAATGAAACGTGTCCCTTGCAATTAGGATAATCAATTTCTGTACACCTTTCTCAAAAATTCCCATACGCTTAGGTGACAACGAAGAATTGGGAATCAAATTCCGCTGAACCAGAAATCTGCACTTCAAAGAGCCAGCCAGCGACGTCGCTGAGAGGAGCACGCATGCAGTCATTCCGGTTTTAAGTCAGCCACCCACCTCTCTTGGATTGCGGAGCTAGCCGGCATTTCGGATCCAGCCGTTGTGCGATACTAATCATCTCCGATAGGACTTGAGGAGGACGGACTGTAAAGCTGTAGAGTATACTGCACTGCGTTTGCTCCTTGCTGCTGCTCTTGGCTGACCCAGAACTTCGAAAAATCCCCACAGTTACGAGCAAAATTTTTTGTTTGTGGTCGAAGATGGACCTCTGCACAAGCCCAACATGCCACCATGCACAACATACTACTGCTGCCGTTCACCTGTCGCCGTCCTTCCACGTCTACCTGTCCATGACACATGCTGCCACTTGATGCGGCAACATCTGGGAACAACACGGACACAGGGGGTACCCCCGTACCCATACGCACAACCTCTCATTCCTCCCTTGTCAAACACAAATGATGTAACATGCATGAAATGATGAACTCTGTCTATATTTACAAGTATGGTCCACGCTGCCTACAAATGGGAGAGGTAGCCATACCTCCTGCCTACACACGGACGAGAGAGGTGAACACACCCACTGCATTTAACACACACCCACATGTCGGTTATGAAACCTCATCAACCACACGGCTCTATCGGCGACCACGTCATCAGGAGGCAGTGATAAGAAATGTTCTCCCGTGCCCTTCTCACATTTAACGACATGAAATTCCACAACATAACATATATTAGACACACAAGACAGCTACCAAACTGATCTGTTGAGCCTGTCACCCGAGAGTTGTCCCAATATGCTGTCTAGGAAATCGTAGACATACAGGTAGTTTTCTCTGACCCTATGATT